CAGGTGCTGCTAAGGGTGCAGTTTTGGTTTGTGATCATGAATTCAGCATGATTATGTGCTTTTTTCCTGCTGTATTCACTACATGGGTGCAGCACAGAGTAGAGAGAAAGCTGATTTAATCAGGTGTGTTTTTACTATGCCACTGTAACTCAGAGTGGGACAGAGAGGCCAAGGATGGAAGCAAGAGCGTGATTACAAGGACTGATGATGAAGTATGAGCTGAGTAAAGAGGGAAAAGAGGACAAAAGATGAATGAAGGACAGTGAAAGATAACATGAGCAATGGACTAAAAATTGCAGCCAGGTAGGGATTTTCTGAAGGTGAATACTATGAAAACTAGAAAGAATAATGTAGAAAATAGGAGGTTATATCAGTCAGGGCTCTAGCAGAAAACCAATGGCATATTCAAAATGGGCAATTAGAGAAAAGTTTGTTGACTATAAATGGGGATCGAAGTTTAAGGATCCCATGTGGAATAGTTATACACTACCCTGTGATTACCAGTGGGTTAACAACCCTAAACCTTAAGCCTGAAGAAGAGGAAGCTGGAACCTAGGTAGATAGAAGTTATGTGGAGATGGTCATCTCATAGGACTGCAAGCCAAGCCACCATTATGGGGTAGGAGGGGATTCTGGGAATAATGTGAACTGACTTCACTCTCCTGTTGCCCTCTCGTGTCCTACAGTCACTCCCACTGGCAGCCACAAGTCAAGGGAGATTTTTGATGCAGTCTACATGGAACAAAGAGCAGAGTGGAGAAGAATGGGGAGTAGATCTGGGGGAGCAAACACAAGTTACCCAGTATATAGGCTTAAGGAAACTGACAGTAATCCAATAACTGAATTGAGGAAGATAGATTTAGAGGAAGGTGGGAGAGGTGGATATCCTGGGAGTGTGGGAGATAGGTGATATTAACGAAGATAATGGAGGGACTTGAGTTTGATTATATGGAATCCAGCACTGGTGATTTCATAGTCAAGCAGAGAGAATGGTCTGGAAGTAACAATAAGGGACAAGGAGCCCCCTGGTCAGAGAGAAAAACAAGACTAGGAAGAATAGGTGTAGAATGAGTATGCCTTTATTAATTAATTCAACGAAGATTTATTGAGTAACTGATATGTACACAGCACTGCTCTGGACACTTGGAATATATCAAAGAGGAAAAAAAAATAAAACTCCTGCCCTTATGAGGAAAAGCACTTAATAAATAGTAAGCATACATAACAATAAAATTTATGGTATCCCAGAGCATGGTAAGCATCACTGAAAAAAGTAGCACAAAATAGGGAGAGTTAGAGGCTTGAGGTGAAGGTAAGATTGTCACTTTTTTCTTTTTTAAGATTGAAATTTTAAGCAATAATTAAGAGTGTTAGCTGCTAGAAGGATACTTTTGGATAAAATGGTTTTAGGTGGAAAGAAAGCTGGACTCTGAGCTTGGGAGAAGGGAGGCTAATGCCTGGTAGGATAGAGAGGGTTCATGAGCAGAAAGAGAACGGGAGGCTATTAGCCCATGACTTTGACTCAAACCCCTCTACCTCTCTGGTCTTCATATTCTCCCTCACCTTGGCTAGTTTTATTCTGCCTGTTTCTTTAAGGTTCACATGTTCCAAGGTGCTCTCCTCAGGCAGATGCCTTTTGCTCCTACAGGTATTACCACAGAGCTTCACCTACCGACCATATTCTTATGACCCAAGAATTTACATTTGACCACTTTCTTAAAAAATACCCATGTCAATTAGTATTTTGGGGGCACTTTAAAATGAAATCTATCCAAAGGTAAATTCATGGTTTTTTCCCCCCAAACCAGTTTCTCTTTCTTTATTATCTAATTTTGATGGCTTTACCATTTATCCAGTCACCCAAGCTAGAAACTATGATGTTATCTTGAATCCCCCCCTTTTTAACTGTCACCTCATTTCAGCCTGCCCCTGCCTTCATAGAACTGATTAATTAGCTTTGGAACATCACTGTTCTCATTCAGTCTCCTCCACTGCTTCTCACCATTCTTAATTCTTTAATCAGCTCTCGTGTGCACATTGTACAGGGCAAAAACAAATTTAAAAACATAGAGGATGCTATTCAAATATGTCATCATAATTACTTTCTTTTTTCATCATGAGCTGACCACCCAAGAGCAGAACTATGGTTTATTACACACTAAATAATTTGAAGCAATGTAATTAAATATTTTAAATATAGAAATGATAATTATTTTATTTTAGTACAGAAATAATAATGACAATATTACTTTTTTTTTAAAAAATGATTTTATTTTTTTATTGAAAGAGAGAGAGCACAGGTGGTAGGGAGAAGCGGGTTCCCCACTCAGCGGGGAGCCCAGTGTGGCGCTGGATCCCAGGGCCCAAGGATTGTGACCTGAGCCAAAGGCAGATCCTTAACCAACTGAGCCACCCAGAAGCCCCTGATATATTCCTTTTACTGGTAAATTGTTTGCTTGGTAGATATGGAGACAGAGGAGTGTGTGATCTCTTTATCTAGCATTTAATTCCTTGTTTATGTGAACACACTTCTTTCAGAATTTATTTCCATGGAATCAGCAGTTCTGGATTTAGAGTTAAGGGAAGTAAACTGACCTAGGTATTATGACTGGAGACTAGGTGGTTTATAATTTAACTGTGTATTTAGAAATGCCATCCATTCTGGAACTAATGTTTTAATCTAATGCTTTATGAAGATGAAATAAAAGCAGCACTCAGATTGATATGCACTGAAGGAGAACTGTGCAAATATTTCCCTAGTGTTGGCACTGTGAGCACTTAACTTCTTTCAAAACATTCATGTTTGGCGTCACTGGGCATGACTGGAAAGGCTAAATGGTTTCAGAACATGGGTTGAAACTTTGCTTCTCATTTACCTTGAAATGAAATCAAACATTGCAGGAAATGTTCTCACAACTAGACCTTTAAACATTTTGCATTAAAAAATGTATTACCTGAGGCTAGACAATGGTTCTGAAATATTTATCCCAGGAAAATAACTTGCTTATTCTCCAAGCAAATCTAAAACCCAGTTTAAAATTCAACAAATTTAAATTTAATTATAAGAAGCAATTTTCTATTGGATTAATTATTCACCTTTACTGCTAATTAATAAAAGTATGTCCGTAAAGTGTAGATTCACATCTTAATGGATGTTGAGAGACTTGACCAGGTATAATCCTGTATAAGTACAAAATAAAAAAATAAAATAAATGCAATTGTTGTTAATGCATGAAAGCATCAGTGCCTCTCAGTCCTCTTTGTATGGTCATTTTTATTTCAAATATTCCAAAGAAATAATACTCATAATTTTTTTTCTATCTTTATTGAAGTCACAATATCATCAACTTGGTAACTCAGGAATTATTATCAATGTTCCAACTGTTTTTTTTCCCCAACATTTGGTCCTACATGCTTTTGAATATTATATGAATGACTTCAAATTGTTTAGAAAATAAAAATTATTTTTTAATTTAAAAAATTAAATGAACTATTGGGAATGAACTATTGGGACTTCATCAAGATCAAAAGCTTTTGCACAGCAAAGGAAACAGTTAACAAAACCAAAGACTACTGACAGAATGGGAGAAGATATTTACAAACAGCATATCAGATAAAGGGCTAGGATGCAAAATCTATAAAGAACTTATCAAACTCAACACCCAAAGAACAAATAATCCAATCAAGAAATGGACAGAGGACATGAACAGACATTTCTGCAAAGAAGACATCCAGATGGCCAACAGACACATGAAAAAGTGCTCCACATAACTTGGCATCAGGGAAATACAAATCAAAACCACAGTGAGATATCACCTCACACCAGTCAGAATGGCTAAAATTAACAAGTCAGGAAATGACAGATGCTGGCGAGGATGCAGAGAAAGGGGAACCCTCCTACACTGTTGGTGGGAATGCAAGCTTGTGAAACCACTCTGGAAAACAGCATGGAGGTTCCTCAAAAAGTTGAAAATAGAGTTACCCTATGACCCAGCAATTGCACTACTGTGTATTTACCCTAAAGATACAAATGTAGTGATCCGAAGGGGCATGTGAATGTGAATGTTTATAGCGGCAATGTCCACAATAGCCAAACTATGGAAGGAAGTTAGATGTTCATCAACAGATGAATGGATAAAGAAGAAGTGGTATATATATACACAATGGAATACTATGCAGCCATCAAAAGAAATGAAATCTTGCCATTTGTGATGATGTGGATGGAACTTGAGGGTATTATGCTTAGCGAAATAAGTAAATCAGAGAAAGACAATTATCATATGATCTCCCTGATATGAGGAATTTGAGAGGCAATTTGGGGGGCTTGGGGGGTAGGAAAGGAACAAATGAAATAAGATGGGATCAGGAGGGAGACAAACCATAAGACTCTTAATCTCACAAAACAAACTGAGGGTTGCTGGGGGGGAGGGGGTTTGGGAGTGGGTAATGGGGTTATGGATATTGGGGAAGGTATGTGCTATGGTGAGTGCTGTGAAGTGTAAACCTGGCGATTCATAGATCTGTATCCCTGGGTCTAATAATACATTTTATGGTAATAAAAAAATTTAAATTAAAAAAAAATTTAAAATTCAGGGAAAGTAGACATACACATCCAATATAAATGATTTTTGAGACGTTTTGACACAAAGGGTAATGGACAAATGAGTGGTGGTTGGTGAGGAAAGTGGTACAAAAGAAGGTTTTACTGTGTTTTGTCCTTGTTTTTAGTTTTTGTTTTTTTTAAGATGAGTCAAATGATTGCATGCTTGTATGATGCTAGAAATAATGCAGTAAAGGGAGAAAATTTGCTGACATAAGAGATGGAGGGATGAATTACTGGTGAATAAGATCTCATGCACATATAGAGGGATTAGCTTTAGATAAAAAGCAAGATAGCTCAATAAAAGCAGAGTGCATGGGTAAAAGTGTCCGTAATTTGAAGATTTAGAAAGAAAATCTAGAATTTTTTTTTTTTTTTCTGATGGCTTCCATTTTCTCAGCTCTACAGGAAGAAATTTCTCACCTGGAAGCAATGAGGAAGAAGGCTGTGTTGGGAGTTGGAAGAGAACAGGTAGGGAGAGCATGGCAGAGGTGAGCACCAGGCAACCGATGGCTCCTTTCAGGTCCACAGAGGTGTGGTTTTGTGCCTTTCAACTACCGCATTCAGCCTCTCTGGTGTAGGTGTGGAAGTGTATTTGTGGGTTAGGTGGAGAATTGGTTTCATCAGGTGGTGATCTGCCAAGTAAGAGAAAAGCATGAAAGCTGAGGATGATTTCATGAGAACCTTATAAAGACAGTACAATTTTAGCTAGATAAGGAGCAAAAAATACATGAAAAAGATGGAAGTGAGTTCAAAGGAATAGGATCATAGAAGTAGACAATTCAGGAGGTTTGAAAGAATGCTAAAGCCAGAGAACCAAAGAGAATGTGCAGGAGGGAAAGAAGGCGGTGCTAAAAGAGTAAAGGGAATTGAAATTCTATAATTGAAATTATAGAAGGGTTGTGTTTATTCGTAATCATATAGGCATAGTGATTGAGACAGGTGGAAGATAACGTCTTTAAAGGACAGGAGTTTTAAGACCTGAGTGTCCAGAAAATTGGAAGAAGTATCTATGTGTATACCAACAGCTAGGATCAGACAGGATTGGGAAACCAGGAACAAATACTTGAGTCATATGGACTTGTAATAGGGTTTCCAAAGATAACAGCCTCAGTGAGCAATGAGATTCAAAACTGGTGGGATGTCCAGAGAAGGGAAGATAATTATCCAAGAGTCACAATAAGGAGCAAGTAGAGGAGGCTGGGGAACAAAACAAAACCCCTTATACCTCAAGAGGGCCTCAGGGGAGAATACTTAAGAGCAAAAATATAATTGCTGTCCTCATTGAAAATGTTAACTCATGAAATGGGACAGAGTTTATACATATCTTTCTCCCATCATCTAGCACAATGGTTTGCACTTCGTAGGAAATCTTTGTTGAGTGGATTTCATTTCATTGCACTATTACTTAATTTATTAAGCTGGTTAAGCAACAGCTGGTTATATTGGATTCATATACAAAATATGAAAGTATAAGATGGTTAGACATCTCATTACTTTAAACTGGAAATATTTCATAAACACAGAATGCAAAAAGCAATAGAAACTATGCATATAAGGATTTCTGGTTCATGAAGGTGCTAGAATGATTAAAATGACAAAGTGAGACTAAATATCTCGCCAAGGATATCTTAAAAGTTTTGGACTTGGTAAATGGTGAGAGTGGAGATAAAGATCAATTGAAAATAAATTATTCTATGAAATGTAAACTAATTTAAAACTGAACTACAATTTTACAAACTGCCAGGATATCATTACAGAGCACCAGATCAAGCTGTGATTTTGATGAATTTGCAAAGGCAAATGGAGCCAAGAACTACCTTCTTCATTTTTGCCTACCATGCTCCTCCTTAAATATTCTTACTAAATAAATTAAATAAATCAAGGTTATTCTGAGATATCAGTGAAGAATATTTACATATGTGTAATTACATTTTTCTTTAGTCCCCTGAAAAACTTGAATTGAGTTCATGTTCATATCAATTCTTTAGATGATATCCTTAGCGGTAGGCTTTACTGAATGGTGGAGTGGAAAGGGTACAAATACAGAGGTATTACTAAAAAAGGAACTCATATATAGACTTGGAAAACAATTTTAAAAAGAAAAAAGAATGTAATATTTTGTTTCTATTTTTTCCTCTTGGTTTTCCCTAATTTTTCCTTTTAATAAGATTGATCAATCATTCCACAAATAAAATGTAACTTTTTGGGACACCTGGATGGCTCAGGCAGATAAGCCTCTGCCTTCAGCTCAGGTCATGATGGTCCTGGTATTGAGTCCCACATCAGGCTCCCTGCTCAGCGGGAAGTCTGCTTCTCCCTCTGCCTGCCGCTCCCCCTGCTTGTGCTCTCTTTCTCTGGCAAATAAGCAAATAATTTAAAAAAAAAATGTAACTTTTTGTTTCTGTGGGTTTAATCGAAACAATTTCATGATTCTAACTAAAGTGTTGGTTTTCTTTGGTGTGGTAGGCTGAATAAGAGTCTCCTAAATATTTCCACATTCTAATCCCCAGAGCCTGTGCATGCTACCTTATATGGTAAAAAGTCTTTGTAGATGTGATCTTGGATAATCTAAATTAAGATGATCCTGTATTATCTTGGTACGTTGGATATAATCACAGTGGCCTTTGTGAGAAGGAAGCAGAAGAGCCAGCTAGGAGAGAAGGTGATGTGAAGAGAGAAGCAGAGATTGGAGGGAGGCAACCAGGAGCCAAAGAATGTGACAGGCAACCTCTAGAAGTTGGAAGAGGCAAAGAACAGATTCTTCCCAGGATCCTCCAGAAAGTACCAGCACTGTGCTCACTTTGACTTTCAGTCCCTGAAGACTCATTTTTGACTTTTGATCTTCAGAACTGTAAGAGAATAAATGTGTGCTGTTATGGGCAACCAAATTTGTGTCAATTTTTAGTAAGAAACTATTACAATATGTATTATTTTTTAAATTTAAAAAAGTTATTGTATTAAAAATTTTTAAGAAGGTTGGAAAGTTCTTATTCTTTTCAAGTAGTTTACATGTGAGTGAGAAATCTGTGGAAAATCTTTCGACGCATGTATGTCTGTTGCCAGTTTGACCTACAATTTAAGATTTACTGAATAAAAGGGTGAAAGTATCTACCTTATTGCACCCACACAAATTGATAAATATTTATTTTAAATAGCTTGTTAAAATAACTTCTATAGAAGCAGATTATATTCCTTAGAAGAGAATTTTTGGGATATTGTGATTTATAATAAGATATATAATTTTGGTCTTCATCCCACTTTTTTGGCACAGAGCTCCTAAGTAATTTCCTAAATGATGTGAATGATAAAGGTAACTTGTTGTGGTAACGAGGTGACCTTTGAGAGCACCTTAGGATAGGGCTATTTGCCGGTGGAGCCAACTATATGATTAGAGCTGCAACTTTTAGTCAAACACCCTAACCTCTGGGGAAGAGGGAGAGTCTGGCGGTTGAATCAGTCATCAATGTCCGATGAGTTAATCAATCAAGCCTTATAATGAAGCCTCCATAAAAACCCTATAGGACAGGGCTCAGAGAGCTTCCATTGGTGAACATGCCCTGAGGAGACGCATCTGGATGGGGCATGGGAGCTCCATGTGCTTTCCTCATACCTTGCCCCATGCATCTTTTTCCTGACTTATATTCTTTTATAATAAACCAATAGTTTAGTAAATAAAATATTTGAGTTCTGTGAACTGCTGTAGCAAAGTAATCAAACCCGAGGAAGGGAACCTCTCTCTAAGTTATAGCTAATTGGTCAGAAGTATAGGTAAAAACCTGGACTTGCAATTGCCATCCAAGTGTGGGTCTTTGGAACCTCTAATTTATAATTGGTCATCAAAAGCACAGGTAAGAGCCTGAGCTTGTGATTGGAGTCTAAAGTAGTTGGGGCCATTTTGTGGGACTGAGCCCTCAATCTGTGGGATCTGATGCTATCTCCAAGTAGATAGTATCAGAATTGAATTGAATTCTCAAACACCTTTCTAGTGCCCAAGAATGGCTTGGCTTTACGTGGAACCCTCCTCCCAACCCCCCATACACATACACATTAGAATTGAGACCAGGAACCTAAAATATTCCTCTTATTAAATTGATTTCTTTTATAATTTGTTTTCTAAAATAGATTTTGGAGGTAAACATCACACCAAGAAGATACTAGAACTAATTAACTGTCAACTCTTACCTGTATAAGCTTAAACAAGTGATATAATCACAAAAGAGAAGATTTGACTCCTTCAAAATTGAAAAATTATGTTCCAAAAATCCCATAATCTAACATACCCTAAAATTTAAAAAAATGAAAACAAACAAAAAAACGTAGAAGAAAATTTTAAAGCAGGAAGAGATAATCACATTTATGTACTCATTAAGGATACATAAAACTAGTACAGAAACATTTACTGGTGCCGTGGTTCTAGTTATAAAAGCCATACAAATAAAAACATAAACGCAAAAGAATTTTTAATCCCTAAATAAACCAAATGCAGAATAAATAATAATCATGCTGGTTATTTTTAAATTATTTTTATTAACATGTAATGTATTATTTGCCCCAGGGGTACAGGTCTGTGAACCATCAGGCTTACACATTTTACAGCACTCAATCATGCTGGTTAATGACAGTTTTATTTTCTTAAATTAATGGTAATTAGTTGATATAACTGCTTTGGGTCAATCAACATTGTAATACATACCAAACACAATAAAGAAGAAAATAATTGACATAGTAATACTACTTCCGGAAATCTATTGTAAGGAAATAATTACAAATAAAGTTACATGCATGATAATGTTCATTTTGCACTCTTGATTATAAAGTGTGTGTGTGTAAAAAACAATAAGAAAAAGAAAAAAATGAAAGATATTTAAAAAATTGACTTACTCCTTTTAATTAATGAGATAAATTAAATACATATTCCATGGAATCAATATGGTTAATAATACTTATTTAACTTAAACTGTTTTCTGAAAATAGAAATTAATATTTTAAAAATGGAAACCCACAATGTCAAGGTTCCTAATTCATATAATTATGTAAATAATGACAAAGCATAGAACAGAAACATAACTTTTTATTATGGTAAGTAACACATTTGTGAGGGAGATACAGGAAAAAAATTGATAAAATTTAGGACTTATGTTTATAGTATAATGAATGTATGCATTTTATAGTTTATGACATAGACCCAACTGGTCGAAGAAATAAATTAATTTTTTAAATGGCATAAGAAGAGAAGGCTATCAAGAAATTTTTCAAGTGTATGTATTATAAGGATTAAAGATGTAACATCAGATTTGAATAACCAAGTTGGAATAAGATATAAAATCTGCACAGTGTTGGTGGGAATGTGATAAAATTAGGACTTTCTTCTGTTGATGGGAGTACAAGTTTGGAGAGCAATCTGACAAAATCCACATACTCTTAACAATTTCAGTTTTAGCAATTTATTCTAGTGCTGTGTACCAACCAATGTGTAGAATTTATGTATAAGGATATTGTTTTCCGCTGCATTCTGAGCAGTTTAACTTAAAATCAGGTTCATGCATCACCTTAATAATTATTCTAAAAACTTACAGAATCATAAAAATGTAACTATATGTATTTTTTATATAACAGAATATATACACCTAGAGTAATCTGATATTATGTGGTAAGTTAATACTGGAAGTTTAAAAGAGTTAAGGGGCACTTGGTTTACTTTGAGAAGTATATATTTTAATTTTATATATTCTTGATTTATTATGCTTTCATTTTTTGCCTTAAGTTTTGCTTACTTATATTTTTAAAGGCTAAAAAAAATGTGCTAAAATCATTTACTAACTGTAAATGAAAAGACATTGGGTGTTTAGTCCATTTGCAGTAACCTCAAAAATCTCTATCCTAGGGGCACCTGGGTGGCTCAGTCCTAAGTGTCTGCCTTTAGCTCAGGTCATGATACTGGGTTCCTGGGATCCAGCCCTGCATCTGGCTCCCTGGTTGGCAGGGGGTCTGCTACTCCCTTTCCTCCTGCTTGTGCTATCTCTCTCTCTCTGTGTCAAATAAATTTTAAAAAATCTTATAAAACAAAACAAAATAAAAAAACAAAAACTCCATCCTATTCCTACATGAGAGATCTTGTTCTATTTAAATGAAGCTTTTTCTTTCTCTTTTTTCTTGTTTTTAACTGAGTTACTTACATATGGCTATTTATGTTATATACCAACACAACTCAATGAAAGGTGAAAATTTGAGTCAACTTTTAAATATCTATAAAAACAAACAAAATAAATCTAACTTAATGGTTTTTGCTGAGCTAAAATAATAATGATAGTAATAAGTGACAAAATGTTCTTAAGGGTTGTAGCTCTATTTTTAAGGATGGCCAGGACAATATTTTGCAAAATACTTGCTCAATATATGAAGATCAATAGTTGAGAAGGGCATAATTCTTTCTCATAGATAATCTCAGAGAATGATTTTTCACACATTATAGAAAGATTTCCCTTAACTCAGTGGTCATTTCCTAGAATCATAGAATATTAATAATATAGGTAAATTAGTTACCCCTTAAACTTACCCATGAAGAAATGGTTTCAGAGAACTCAAGCAACTTGCCCACATTTCCACAAGGAAGTTACAAAGGTGAATCCAACATGGACATTTGACTCTTAATCCCTTTTTCATGCTGCCAATCAGAAAAAAAAAACACAAAGAAGAAACTACAACTGGTGCCCCAAACTACAGTAGCTTTTTTCAGGTTAATGGAAGTATATAGTCCATTTGATTACCTTTCATGCACTACTTCCTGAATACAAAGAGAATCCTATTAGTGGATTAGTGCCATGGCCTACTGTCCACACACAAGATTAATGAACAGAGATTCGATGCTTTCAGATTACTTGATTCTAACAAAAGTTTAGACTATTAAACAAGCTCAATTTTTATTCACCTGTTAGTTTCCATAATCTTCAAAGCAAAAATGTATGCTGTAATAAAAGTAACATATTTTACGTAATTATTTCATTAATTTTTTTACTCCATGGAATCTTATTTTTTTTCCCCTACCTTCCAAAACATCTCATAATTTCTAGGTTGTGATGTTAGATAGGTCTAGAGAAGAGTATCTGTAAGAAATAATTTTATTAAGCCTTAAATTTCTATATGAACTTGGACTAAAACCAATAATTTTTCCTTGCAAAACTCTTATGTTCATAATGACCTGAGGATGTCATTTTACTAAGATTATTTTCATGAATTAATTTGATATCTGTTTATGTTACCGTATAAAAGCAGACAATAAAGCTAGGTAGGTACTGTCAAAAGATGGGTGAAAATTATAAAAATCACAAGGTTTCCTAATTTTTTTTTTGATTTCCACTAAATTCATGAAACTTTTTCCATTATGTTTTTCTTTAAAAAATAAATGTTCATAGTAATACTAAGAAAAGCTAACATAATAATTAGATTACAGCAGTGTTAAGGTCTATAGTTCCTGAGAAAAGCTGGAGGAAATGCTCGTTGCTACATGTTTCTTTCCTGTGTGCAGTATGAAAGAATTTCGAGACAAGCTTCTTTTCAGGCCATATCCTGCATGGAATAAAAACACCTCTGCACGGGGTGCCTGGGTGGCTCAGTGAGTTGAGCGGTTGACTCTTGATTTTGGCTCAGATCATGATCTGAGATAGAGCCCTGAGTCAGGTTCCGTGCTGTGCTGGACGTGGTCACTCACACATGTGCTTCTGTGTGTGTGCTCTCTCTTTCTCTCCCTTACAGTACCAACAAACACCTCTACAGTTCTGCATCCTGGACTACGAAGGAGACAGGATGAAATCATGTATGCCTGAAATTTAATATATTTCAAGGTGAATATGAAAAAAGCTATCTATCT